ATCTCCTCGTGCAGAAGGTGTCTCGCAGCCTGGCGGCGCGGCCGAGCGGCCGGCCCGGAGCAGCTGAGGCGGCCGAGGGTGAGTACGGAACGCGCCTGTGGCCTCCGGGCTCCTGCTGGCCCTCCGCGGCCTGGCCGGGTGCCTGGGAGCCGCTGGGATCCGCACCGGGCTCTGGAGCTGCTAACAGCCTGAGGGAGATCCGGTTGTGAGGGGGTTTAGAGGAGAGTGATGCTCGGGATAACGGCTCAGCCCCCTGAGCCTGAGGGGATCACCGGGAAAGGTTGGGCCAAGGGAAGTGTTTTTAAAAGAAAGAAAGGAAAACCATGTCCCATAATAAGGTGTTTGGGAATGAAGGAGCGGGAATATTTGCTCTTTGGTGGTGCAGGAGCTGAGGGGATGGAAGCTAAAAGCACCCGTGGTCAGTTACCAAATAACTTCTAAAGCCAAAACTCCCAAATCTAAATCTTGGGGAAGATACTTCTATAAATACTCACTTTTTATTAATATTCATCATCCCCTTCCAGTTATTCTTTCCCAGTTCCTGCTGTGGCAGGACTGTGTGCAGTTGGGGTGTGACGCTGTTATCTTTGGGAGTGTGGCACAGGTTGTAAATCTCACAGTCAGGATCCTGCTGAGAAGCACAGGCTGTGCTCGTGGCTCTGCCAAATCCATGAGTGCTTGGCAACGATCCCTTGGGCACATTGGCACGACAGGACATGGGGCCCCAGTAAAATCTTATTTGCGTGCCCTTATCTTTCTGCAGTTCTTTTGTGATGATAGTTAAATGACGATTTAATTGCCCAAATTGCCTGTAAAAATGAAATTACTGAAAGTACTGACATTGCTTTTTCATATTCATCACTGGATCGTAGCAAAAAATGAGGCAAACAAATGTGAAGGTGCTTCAGCTTCTGCAATAAAACAGAGCAACATTTGCCTTTTTTGGGGGGTATAATTTAATTTTCCTACTGACCTTCAAAGGCCACTCATGAAGAACAGTGGTGCCTCAGTATGGATTTTCTGAGACCTCCAGGTGTCTCTTGAGATCTGTGTCATGTTTGTAAGTGATTTGTCTGCTGATGGAGGGTGTTAAATCCACTGCTGCACTGACACCAGCAGGACCCATTGCCAGAAGGAGTAGGAGTGAATGTGGGCTGGTTGCCTCATCCTTCTGCGTAAAAGAAGTTCTCTGGGTAAAAATGGTCCCTGTGAAGCCTGGGTGATGTTTCTGAATTAATTTGTATCTAACAAGTCCTTCAGATATAGAAGGAAGTGTCCTTGAAGTGTGAAGTTTAAACTTTATGGTTAGTTATGCTTGTGTCCTTATTAAAATCCTGTTAAAGCAATTGCTTTAAAACAGTAAAACATGATGAAGTTTAATTCAGCATATAAATTACTATAAAAGATTAGCTGGAAACTGAACTTGAGCTGTGATTTTTAGAAAAACAGCTGCAGGGAGAGATATGAAGCTTTCCTTACCACAATTATTTGAGGAGACCATCTAGAATTTACTTTGAGTAGCTTTGCAAACTCTTTCCTGATTTCCTAGAGCCTGATGCAGTGGTGAGAAGGCAGGAAGCTTTGGCAGCAGCTCGCCTCAGGATGCAAGAGGAATTGAATGCACAAGCAGAAAGATACAAGGAAAAGCAAAGACAGGTAACCAGAGAGCATTCCTTCCTTTAACTCATACATTTCTCATCAAGAACTTTGCTGCTGTTAAAGAAAGCAGCAGAATGTAATTGTGGGTCTGGTGTTCATTTGTTCCCAGGTAAATCTGTACCTGCAGGAACTTAGTTGTGTGTGCAGTGAATAGCTGGAGGGGTTTTGCTGGCATTTAAATTAACTGTACCACTGCATATGTGTGTTTTCTGCTCTTAAAGGCAAATATAAGTGTTAGAAATGTAGCTTAGCATTGCTGCAATTGAAGGGTCTGAATTACAGCTTGAGATCATGAGGAACAGCGAACTGCTGAGTGGGGCAGTGCAGAAAATATGTGATCTTCTTTCTTTCCTCTGTAGAACCCCACATTGTGCATTGAATTGCTGTCACATGCAATATTCTTTATTTAGTACTTTTTATGGATTCAGGGTTTAAACTTGCCACTGGTTCTGTTTTACTTTCAAAATGTTTTAAAGCATCAAGTGGCCAAAAGAAGCCGCAGACTCAGTCAGGACATCCCAAGGAGGGGCAGAGATGTGGGTGTATAAAAAGAGTAAGTTCTTCCATAATCTCAGGGATACTTCATCAGATAGACACATTTTGTTGAGTCTGTTGTTTCTGGGGATTCTGTTAGCTCTGAAATCTTAGTTCTTAGATTAAAGCTTTATCCTGTATTTGTTCTGTAGCTGGAGGAGGAGAGGCGAAGGCAGAAGATCGCGATGTGGGAGAGTATGCAAGAAGGAAAAAGCTACAAAGGAAACCTGAAACTGAATCAGGTAACAACCATATTAATTATGTCACAGTTGTGTTTGTGTGATTGAGGGAGCTGAAATTTGTGCTGAGTAACTTTTTTGCTTTTCTGAACAGCAAGAAGTAGAATCTGGTGCCTCTGCCTCAGCAGTCCCAAAATCTAAACCAAACAAAAAGCCTTTGAGAGGAGGTGGTGAGTATGGAATCCTTCACACACTCTGAGCATGGAACAGGTCATTTATCCAGCTGTATCTATGGACTCTGTACATACTTTTTGTCTTTTTAAAGGAAAAAACAAA